CGGTACATATGGTCCCCCAGGTGTCCCCGATTCAGCTGCTGCTGAAACTGACCAGTGGCTGACTACAGGAAGCCCGAGGCAGAGTTGCTTTGCCCCGGGCTTCCTGGAATCAGCCGCTGATCAGTTTCAGCAGCAGCTGACTTGGGGATGCCTGGGTTTCTTAAGTTGAATCTGTATGTAAGTCAGAACTGGCGTCCAGATTCAGCCGCTGTTGAAACTGATCAGTTTCAGCAGCGGCTTACGCCAGTTCCGACTTACATACAGATTCAACTTACGAGGCAGAGTTGCTTTGCCCCGGGCTTCCTGGAATCAGCCGCTGATCAGTTTCAGCAGCAGCTGACTTGGGGATGCCTGGGTTTCTTAAGTTGAATCTGTATGTAAGTCAGAACTGGCGTCCAGATTCAGCCGCTGTTGAAACTGATCAGTTTCAGCAGCGGCTTACGCCAGTTCCGACTTACATACAGATTCAACTTAAGAACAAACCTACAGTCCCTATCTTGTACGTAACCCGGGGACTGCCTGTATCACATTAGTCCAGCAGGTAGCACGGTCTTCATCCTATCTTAGGTAATTAAATCAAAAGCATGCTTTCTTCCATGGTCCAAAGCTAGTGCATTTTTTAAAGCAGGGGTCCTTAATAATGTGAATCAGTTCTTAATATAGAGAGATTGCCTCCCACTGAAATCAACTCCCATCATTTGGGATCAGATACCATCCTTTTGGCAACTGCAGCAGTTACATATATAAGTAATATCTGGAAAATATTTAAAATGTAACTAAAATACATACTAATGTGATTTAATACAATTTCTAATGAAAGCAAGCTTTTTGCAGACCACCAGCAGGTCTTATGAGTACCCGAACTGATCCACTCACCACAACTTGGAAGTCTCTCAATTAAAGAGTGTTCCAAAAATATTGTGGTGGGAATGGAAAGGGTAGGGGGAGCTTAATTGGTACCTGTTAGGAAAATGCAAGAGTAGAGTTGATTACACTCTAATTTACATAAACTCTACATAAATGAAGCACTTCTAACTAGCTATCAGTTGCTTAAAATGCTTCTGAGAGCCACTTATAATCAAATTTCTTTAGTTGTCACTCTTACACCTGCTATTTGATTAAATCAAGTCTGTTTTAATTATTTTTAGAAGTGCGTTTTGAGCATTATTTTAGAATTCAAGATTTCATGACAAGTGACTCTATTTGTCTGCTACATTTGTGCACATAAACTTTTAAAATGAACTCTGAAGTTGTATTCAAACCCAAAACCTCATTTTCAAAGTTATGTTCATCCATCATTACTCAGAAACACCAGTATAGGATCTGAGATTCCAATTAGGATTTCAGAGAACAAATTCAAAATATTTAAATACAACAACCTGCTTGCAGATAATTTATGGACCAAAAAATACTAGTAAGAGTGAAGTAAATCATTTCAAATAACAAAGGAAATCATAAGCTGTTATTACTTTTTCACAAAAATAATACATAAATAAATGTATCTATTAAATCTCTCTAATTAATGGTATTTTTCTTGTTCTATCAACAACCTATAAAATGTTCATTGTGTTCTATAATATACCCCAGGAATTTATATCAGGAATTAAAATGTTGTGTTATGCAGTTGCAAAATTTGTAGTTATGATGCTAGAGTTTTACCTGATATGAATGTTTCTGAATAACTTATAACTGCTTTTATAGTAAATATATCCTACATAATAGGTCAAAAAGTCATCCTTTGCTCTCCTCTAACATTAAGTCTCAGAGGGATAGCTGTGTTAGTCTATAATTAAAAAAACTTAAAAAAAACAATGGTCCTATAGCACCAGGGGGTATGTCTACACTACAAAGTTAATTCGAACTAACGGACGTTAGTTCGAATTAACTTTGATAGGCTCTACACTAGCGCTCCGCTAGTTCGAACTTAATTCGAACTAGCGAAGCGCTTAGTTCGAACTAGATAAACCTCATTGCACAAGGACTAAGCCTAGTTCGAATTTACTAGTTCGAATTAAGGGGTGTGTAGCCCCTTAATTCGAACTAGTGGGAGGCTAGCCCTCCCCAGGTTTCCCTGGTGGCCACTCTGGCCAACACCAGGGAAACTCGTCTGCCCCCCTCTCGGCCC